TAACTTTTATAATAAAGGTGAGGTAGATACGTTAATAGCAGGTGCTGGTGGTAGCAGTGGTTATACCGATACAGAAATTGATAACTTTTTAGATTTAAGAGTTCCTAAATCAGACTTTACTGATAGGTTTTCTACATTTCCAATTATTGATTGTAGCGCTCCTACGATTATTCATAGTGGTTTAACATTAAACAACGAGACGATAAACATATCACCAACTACAGGATTACTATTCAGCAATCAAACAGGAGGAGGAGATAAAATTATTAGTGTATTTAAGAATGCTACAAATTACATAACTTTACAAGGAAACAAAATTAATGCCAATGCCACAAGCGACGACAGTGTTGTAGATTTGAACTTAAACCCTACGGGGAATATTAATATGAATAATGACTTGTCAGTGAATAATGTAAATATTACAACTAATGTAACAATAGGAGGTGAAATTGACATAACAAGCAACTTGACAGTAAAGGGGGATATTGAATTAACAAACGCTAACACAAGTATTGAAAGATACACTAATGCTACTAAATCCAATATATCAATGGATTTATCAATTGATGAAACCGCGAACGCTATAAGATTAATTAATGGAACTAATGATGATACTGACACAAATACATATATAGAATGCAATAATACAACAGGAGGATCAACATTTTTTAAACCGACACATTTCAAGGATAATATATATTATGAAACTGATAATTTCAATATTTCTAACAATTCAGGACTTACAATTTACAAACCAACAACAGACGCCAGTAATGTTGTAGCCATTGCCAATAATAGTGGGAAATTAAGATTTAGAGGCTTTAGTATTGATGCTTATAATACCAATGACACATCGCAACAGCTATTTTTGAATATGAATAATTCTAACGCGGTGAGATGTAATAAATTAGGGATAGGAGCTAATGCCGTTGTGGATGTTCTTAACGTTAATGGTGGCAATTCTAACTTTAGCTCCACTGTAAGGTTTAACGGCGCTACTACTTTTAACAATGAAATATTGATATGGAACAATAGCAAGTTATACAGAAGAGCAGACGCTAACAATTCATTAAACTTAATAACAAATGACGAAATAAATTTCTCATTCCAACCAAACAGAGCAACCGATCCAACAACAGGAACTATAGCATTACAACTAACCGACACTAACGGAATTACAATTAACAGAGCAGTTACAAATAATCAGACTTTCAACAGTATAGGAAAAATAACAGCAGAAGCAGATTTAGATGTGTGGGGTGGTGTTTATTTTCAACATTCGTCAGCAATTAAAGAAACAGTAAATGGTAGTGATTATGATCTAGATATAAGAAATGGAGACACCGACAGAGCAATTAATTTTATCATTGGAACTATAGGAAGCACGCCGGAGTTATCATTAACCGAAGCGAAAGTTACTTTATTAGGTAACCTAGAAATAACACATGATGATATAACAGGACAGCAACGAGTATTAATAAATAACCCAGATGACAACGGATGGATAAGATTAAGTAATAACAACTTATCAACATTAGATGCAACAACAACAGGTGTTGATGTTTATGGCGACCTTTCATATACAGGGTCGTTAATTCCTTCATCGGATAAAAGATTAAAGAAAGATATAAAGGAAGTAAATAGTAAAAAAGCAGTAGAACTAGTAAAATATATTAAGCCGAAAACATATCATTTTATTGATGACAGACAACAAGGTAAATCGTGTGTAGGATTTATTGCTAATGATTTTATGGAAACGAAGAAGATGCCCGACGAATGGCAGAATGTAGTAAAAGAAGGAAAAGATGGTTATTTAAAATTTGATTACACAACATGTGTGCCAATTTTATGGAGTGCTTTACAGGCAACAATAAATGAAGTAGATAAACTGAAAAAGGAAGTAAGTAAGTTGAAGAAAAACAAGAGTGATAGTGACGATGCTTTAGCATCCTCAGGGCGAAGCCGTGACGGCGAAATAAGTTCGCCCTCAGGACGAAGTCGTGACTAATAATAATATTTTAGGAAATAATATTATTGGTCACCTATTTCGAAGCGTTGTTGGAAATTAATATAAAACATGTTATTGACATCTTTAGCGTTCGTGTTTATGTAAAAGAACGAGTAAGGCGCAAAGTCACCGCTTGTTGATACATGTCATAAAGTGTTCGCTTGTCTACAAGGGCACTATTCTCTTCTAGGAAACTATTTACCTCGTTCATGTTCTTCAGTCTGAATATGAAAAGTGCCGAGGCATTAAGTCTTATTATAGGGGCAAGGACATTATATTTTTGTGTTGATAAAATACATGAGATGGCATTATGTCTTCCGCGTGTGAACAATCCATGCAAGATATTGGAGTATCTAAATTCAGGATCATCGGCAAAGTCGTCCACCACGATTAAAATACTGAATAATTCCTTTTGCTTATTCTTCTTCTGGAAGTCTATTACCTTGTGTTGTGTTTCTATTATATGCTTTAATGCAATTGGATCGTATTCTTCATAATATACTTTTTCCTTTTCCGTATCCACTTTCATTACGTCAGTAATATATTTCTTGACTGCTCTCCATGTGTCATCTACATGCACACTAGGGCTAAAAATGTATATTCTCTCAAAGAACCTCGGTAAATCTTTAATATCAAGTTGGCGATTAAAACCGATTTACCGCCCGTTGAAGAGGCAACACACAGCATTCTTGCTGGTAGACTTGGCATCATCTCATATTTACTATTCTTATAATTGTATTTGGGTATGTCTATAGGTTCTACTTTAGGAATATCTTCTAACATTAATACTAGTTAGAAATTATATCATTTAAATATATATGGATAAATACATAGAAGTAATAAATGAGATAGAGAAATTTGATGAAATAATAAAAACTCCAAGATATAGAATGTGTTGTCGTAGTTTGTTGGAATTCCTTAAGGCATTCTGCTTTTATGTCAAAAATGTTAAAAAATGTAAATAATATAAATGAGCAACGATAGCCCAGATAGCGATAAAAAGAAAGGTTTTTTCATAAACTCTAAAGGTGTATCTTGTATTCCTTGTAGATGTAAGAGGCAGTCATATCATAAGGAAACAAAGACGGTAAAAGAAAACAATGTAATAACTACTAACATTGTTGAAGATAGGCATAATATGAAATTTGGAGGAAGGAATGTTAGCCCTGATGAAAACCACATATTCAAAAATGAGAACCAAACAGGAAGCGTTGAAATATGTGATACTGGATTTGGAACTCATGGTATAACACCCGAGGAATGCGAACAGAGAATAGAAATGACCGAGACAGACATTGAATGTATTAAGAAAGACATAGAACGATTGGAAGTAGAGATTGAAACATTGAAGTTTAAAATTGATAAGAAAATTGTATAATAATATAAAGTACAAGAAGCGATTTAAATTGTTGTTTGAGTTTTATCAGCTAGAAGAATAATGTTGTAAAGAGTGATTTACTTATAATAGCGACAGCGCCCCATTGCTCCCATTTCCCCAGTGTGCCTTCCATAAGCACGTCATAAGAGCGTGGTAATGGTTAATTAGTTCGAAACAAGGTTTATCATAATTAACGAATTATGATAAATATTGTAAAATAATATAATATGACAATATATGTTGATAAAATAACAATGGATTTCAATACAGAGGGTCGCAAATGCTCACGAGGCTCTGCCGAGCGTCATCCTCCTCATTGTGAAAGGCAGTGCGTTAGATGTAAAGAGTGGAAGAACTTAGTGCATTTCAAAAGATATTATTATTGTAAAACGGGGAGGTATTTAATGCAGTGTAGAACCACTGTTACTTGCGGTGAATGTCTTGATGGAATGAAAAAGTATAATGATAAAAGGAAACGTGAGTTAAAAAACATAAGTATAATGTAAGCGCATTTCATAAGAGTTTATGGAATATAATTCTATTATGATTACAACCTTTGAAACTAAACCTAGTAAAATCTATGAGAGAACCCTTGCCCACTTTGGGATGATAATACCACCTTAGGGAATATGGATGGGGTAATTGGTTATTCCTATACTGGTCTTGGTAATGGGGAAGTAGTGGTGATATTTGGGGGATTGTAGTAGGGAGTATAGGAATATTCCTCTTATATGGATGAGGTAATCGGTTATTCCTATACTGGAAATGGTAATGGGGTAGTAGTGGTGATATAGTTGGTGAGGTGTAGGGGGGAGTATAGGAATAATCGTCTAATGGGTTGACTGGTGGTATTATTACCCAAAATGGGCAAGGGTTCTGCTAACTTTCTTTGGGGGGTTTAGTGTTGGGGATGTGACTTGTGTAGAGTTTCCTTCGCCTTCTCAGGCTCCCTTTGGACACCGCGCAAAACCTAAACCCCTTGACCCCTTGAGCCAAGGGCCATTCATGTCCCTTCCTGAAGTTGCACGCAAGTGGGCGCGCGAGTTGAAACCAGCCCGCCAAGGATCATGTTGGAGCAAGCCTGTCGGAGAAGATCTCGCCCACGAAGCTACGTGCGGCATGGAATCAGGCACCTTCTCTGGGACATAGCCTCCGCAATTTGGCAAGTGAAGTACAACAGAACTTGCGTGACTGCAGGCGCTGACTGGCGCCTTGTACACCGCAGATCTGGCACCCGACAGTCTCTTGTCAATGCATGTGTGCGATAGTGATATTAACTATATACATGTATGTATGTGTGTGCGGGCGAGAGAGAGAGAGATATATATATATATATAATATAGTTATATGGCAATGACTTCCCACTAGAGACCGATAAGTGCACCTTCTAGGAAAACAGAGGCAGTATCGAGGTGATACTGTGAGCGAAAAACAGTGGTTGATTTATCCGTGAGTTTGCCATACCTCTGCGTCTCCACTACGGCACTTCATGTATGCAGAAATCTGAACCCAGCGAGGCGTGGCCTCAGTATCTCAGCCAGGTAAGTGTCCTCGACAAAGCCCGTTGAAGCTGTATGTTGAAGGTTGTAGAAACCTGCATCAGGCATCGATGGCATGGCTGAGCTCTTCTCCGCCATCACCTTTTGGCTTAGGCCTTCAGCCGTTGGCTTGCGGCAAGGAAAAGGAGCGTAGGCCGCGTGGGCCCTGCTTTGCTGTGGGTTCATAGGCTACCTTCTTCAGTGGTAGCGGAGCCTGAGTGGTGAAAGTGCCGGGGCGTGTGCATGGGCCTGGCTTCGCTGCTGCTGCGCATTTGGCTTCGCTTCGTGTTCAACCCGAGTGACCTCGTCTTCCCTTAACCGATCATCGGCTACCTGACGGCTGGAAGCTCAGCTGGAGGGCAAGCCTTGCCTGGCTGGGGGACTTGGTCTTTGTGTCACTTTGCACGGCGGCCCGGAACTTTGTGGGCCAGCGAATTCACTTCCTCGACGCCGTGATGGCCGAGCTGGGAGGTGACTATGGTGGAGTGTGGAGCAAGTGTCCCGTCTGGGATGGCTCGCCGCTGACTTGGCGCGCCTTCAAGCGCGAGATGGGCTGGTGGACTTCCTCGCTGGACTTGGAAGGCACGAGAAAGTTCAACTTAGCAGCCCGATTCCTGATGAGACAAAGCGGAACTGTTCGCCAGTGAGGAGAAGAGTTCAGCCCCGACGAGCTGGAGTACCAGAAGGCGGTCAAGGCGAAAGACCCTGAGACCGGCGAGGATGTCACGATCGTCGAAGAGGACCTCTTGGCCGGACTTAATAAGCTTATGGCTGCCTTGGAAGGCCTGAACGGCCAGTCTGTTTTGGACCGGCGAGGGGAGCTGAGGACCCAGTTCTACTTGCACCTGGCGCGACGTCCTGGAGAACGAGTTGCTGACTACGCCACTCGGTTCAGGACGGTTGTCAGTGATATGAGATCAGAAGGTGTCAAGCTCCCCGACACGGAGGTGGGCTGGTTCTTCAAGGAGAAGCTCGGCCTGGATGCTCTTCGACGACAGCTGTTGGACACTGCCCTTCAGGGTGCCGAGGCATATGGGACTATTGAGTCCGAGTGCCTTCGACTTTTCCGTGACCTTCATCTGCAAGACCCGCTTTACCGGAAGCTTGAGAAGGGCAGTGGGAAATTAAGTATCAGGAGAATGTTTGCATCGGCGCCTTCGGCAACCCCATCTACTGCTGCAACCTCCTCGAATACTTCTTCGCGGCGTCCCTCGACTTTCTCTACTGCAAGTTCCTTGGCTGGCTCGCGGAGGGGACCCCCGAGACAGGTGCATGCGACCGAGACGGAGGAGCCCGAAACCCTTGATGAGACGGCCGTGGACCAGACAGAGGACGAGGCTGCGGCGTCGGACCAGGCTGGCGAGGGCATCTCCTTGGAAGAGGTGCTGCAGACAGAGGTGCAGTGCTTGGCCCAGGAGATAGCGCAGGCTGAGGAGGAGGGCATCGACCCGGCGTTCACCGAGGCCTTGGAGACGGAAATCGAGGCGTCGGCGGAGGCTTTGGTGAGTATGAGGGAGGCACGCGTGAAGCTGGCTGAGGTTCGCAAAGATAGGGGCTACAAGGGCCCTGCGTTGAATGCCTCAGCGGCAGCCAGTGGAGGCAAAGGCCGGGGCAAAGCAGCGATAGCCGCCAAGAAGGCGTCTGGCAAGCATCTTTGTTTCGACTGTGGTCTCTCAGGCCATTGGAGCGGCGATCCAGAATGTACCAAGCCTGGGGCTGGTTTGGGCCGGGCCAAGGGCAAGGCCGCGCCGGCAAAGCAGGTGCGCATTGCTGAGGCTTGCGGAGATGCCAACCGTACCGTGGCGGAGGTTGAGACCTTGAACGCTGGCGAGAATGAAGTCCTCATGGCCATGTCCCTCTCGGCGGCATTGCGGGCTGGCAGTTCTGGGCAGACTTCCGAAGCTTTGGTTACGAGCGCGCTGGCAAAGGACAAGGCGCTGGTTGGTGCTTTGGACTCGGCGTGCAATAGAACTTGTGCCGGTGAAGATTGGATGCAAGGCTATTTGCTTGAGTTCCAGGCCCTGGTCAAGACCGTTGAGGAGCAAGAGAACTTTAAGTTCGGCAACGGCGGCACCCTTCCGAGCATGACGCGCTACCGGGTGCCAGCAGTGATCTCCGGGCACTTGGTTGGGATATGGATCTCATGTGTGCCTGTTTCTTCCCTAGGCTTACTTCTCGGTCGAGATCTTTTGGATGGCCTCGGCGGCGTGCTGGACTTTAGCCAAAGAACTTTGACGTGCAAGTTGTTTGCCAACCGGCCGCCCGTGGCCTTGGAAAGGTTGGCCGCTGGACATCTCTCTCTCGCCTTGATCCCTGAGCAGTGGCCGGCCGTGACCCAAGGTCGTTGGAGAAAACTGGGAGCCGACGGTGTCCTCGAGTGTTGCATTGGGTGCGCTGAGTGGGCTGCTCACTTGTTGCACATGAACCCCAGAAGAGATTCCGAAGATGCACCCCACAGCCACAACATGACCGAAGCAACCCTTGAGCTTGGGAGATTGGCTTTTCATGCTGTTCTTTGCTCTTCGGCCCAAAACTGCGAGATGACTTTTGCTGAGCAGCCACAGCCCTCGACTTGCACCACGGCCTTTGGCCCCACGGTGGGCAATGGCGGCTCCGAGGCCTTCGGTGGCTCCCTTGAGAACAGCTCGTGTGGAACCTCGCGACCTGGATCCCGACGACTTGGTCGGCGTCAGGTGGCGGAGGATGATGTTGCGAGCGGCGAGAAGGTCTACGACTATGGTGCGTCAAGCATCCCGAGCTGCGCTGGTTGCCATTTCCCTATCCCTCTGTGTCCTCGGTGGAGCAATGGCGGCTGCAGGTCGATGGCATGGTGGCCAATGGATGCTACCCTCGGAAGTGGCTGGGCCGAGGAGTGTTCAGTCAGGGGACCTTGGCTTCTTTGACGTGGTTTCGCAGCCGCGTCGGCTTGAAGTTTGCGTTCCTGGAGGATCCGGTGCTGAGTGGGATGCTGGCTGCGCGCTGGCAGCCAGGCCGGATGAACCGCATCAAGAATGCAGCCATCAAGGAGGAAGCAGCAGCATTGGCGCGCGAGACAGATCGACTCCGGGCAGCCCGTACGCTGCTTGGGCCAAAAGGGGGGATACCCACGCTCAAGGCCGACCTGTTGAAGCTCGCAGCCCTCTTGCACACCGAGGTGGCCGACAAGGACACGGTGAAGACCATCAGAGACAAACTGCGGCCGCTGGTGGCCGATCTTTGTGCAAAGGTTCCTTTGCCGGCGACCTCCTCCATCGACTCCGGCGAGCACTCCGAGCTGGCGTTGGCGGGACCTTCGGCACGACCCTCGACGAACGCATCGTCAGGGACTATGTCACCTGGGCCATCCGGGACAGCAACCGCGGCCGCTACCTCGACAAGCGGCCCACTCAACGATGCCATGACTGTTGCCATGCTGAACAATCACCTGACCCAGGCCATGGAGCAGCGTTTCCAGGAGCTGGGACACCGCCACGAGGCCATGCTCAACCAGGTCATGCACCACATCATGCAGATGCACGCGAGCCAGAACCGCGACGAGGACATGATGAACAACGAGTGGGAGCTGGCCCCGCAACCGGCCTCGGACCCTCGCCTCAGCCAGCCAGGATGCCTCGAGGTGAACCGGGATGACTTTTGAAAGCCGGGCAGCGCCAGCTCATTAGAGAAGCGTGGGACAAGCACCGCCGAGACCAGATGCTGATATCTTGCTCCCCTCGTCAGGTGCGTCAGGCTATGCTAACTGAGGTGGCCATGCAGTACCGCAAGGCGATCCACGATGCCTTTGTCATGGAGATCCCTCTGCTGTGCACGGACGCAGTGGGCTTTAACGACTCGGTCGGGCGGTGTGCCAGAACTCGTGGGCACATCACCGGCGCTAACCTTGGGCCGGAAGCTGGCTGGGATTTCCTACAGCCTGGCCACCGACAGCAAGCTCTACGACTACTGCAACGCGAAAAGCCTTACTTCGTGACGATGGCCATCCCCTCGGTGCCGTGGATGTTTTCTTCTGTTGCCCTGTCTTCCCGGGATCGCCAACGCCAGCAGCTACAACACCTTTCGACCGCTGCTCGCTTCGCCGTGCACGTCGCCAAGCAACAGCTCAGGGGGGGGAGACATTTCGTGATCGAACACCCGCCGGGCTCTCTGCTTTGGCGTCTTCCTGGTGTTCGTGCACTCATCGCGGACCCTCGCTGCCGCTGCTTTGGGCTGGATCTGGGCCGTTTTGACTCGCAAACCCTTGGACATCGACGAGTACGGTTTCCTGCGACTCAACTTTTGACTTCTAGCCAAACCGTGGTGCATCAGTTTCGTGGCAAGCCTGGCGAACTTCCAGCTCAGCATGCGCGACGTGAAGTGAAGTCATACCCCCAGGCCTTCTCCCGAAAACTGGTGGCGGCTATGGAGGAGGAATTTGACTGGGAGACCTGTCAGCTGAAGGGTGCAGTTGGTGGCCATGAATGTCTCGAGTTGGTCGGATCCAGCGGGGCAGTGGACTTCGTGCGCGAGGCCTTGTCTGAGGAGCTCCAGGTGGGTGAGCAGAGCGAGTCGGAGGACGAGCCGGAGACCAAGTTCGTGGGCGAGATCACGCCAGCTATCCGGGCGGCGGTCAGGCGAGTGCACGAGGCTACTGGACATCGTGCGCCAAAGAGATTGGCCCGCGCGCTACTGCTTTCAGGTGCCCCTCCTGCGGCAGTTGGGAGCTCAAGTGCGATGTGTGCTTGGAGCGCAGCCGTCCGAAAAGCCGCCGTGTGGCTAGCTTGCCTGCTCCGCGAGCCGTTGGGGAGCGGGCTCACCTAGACCTGCTGATTGTGGAGGATTCCATTGGCGCGCCTTTTGTGGTAGCTCATGCCACCGACGCGGTCTCCAAGTACCAGCTGGCAGCCCGCATCCCAAACAAGTCTTCAGCTGCGGTGATTGACTTCATGATGCAGTATTGGTGGCCCATTCTAGGTGCGCCGCGGCAAATTATCGCGGACCAGGGCCGCGAATTCATCAGTGCAGAATTCCAAACCTTTTGCTCGGCTCACTCCGTGCACCTCTGGCACTGCGCCGTGCAGGCGCCGTGGCAGAACAGCCCGGCCGAAAGATCAGGAGGCATACTCAAAACGCTGGTGGCCGCCATCGTCACAGACAATGTCGTCCTGGGAGACCGAGAGATCTCCAATGCCATCGGAGAGGCTTGCTCGGCCTATAATGCAGATGTCAATGAAGAAGGCGTGACGCCGCTTCAAAGCGTCACAGGTCGACAGCCCTCCAGTCAGGGCTCAGTCCTCCACAATTTCTCTGGAAGGCTGGCGGAGCACGGGTTGATAGATGCTGAGCCGTCCCTCCAGCAGCGAATGGCTTTGAGAGAAAGCGCCCGCATCGGCATGATCAGGCTCCATTATTCGAAGGCCATTCGCCGTGCTGAACTTGCTCGAAGTCGAGAGCCGACCATTTCCCGCTCAATACAGCCAGGTGACACTGTGTATTTCTGGAGGGCTCAAAAGCTAAATCGCCGGGGCGACCCGCGGCTGTCGACTTCCTCCAGACGGCGCAGGCTGGAACTCCGTCGTTGGCACGGGCCGGCAATCGTGTTGGCTCTGGAGCAGAGTTCAGAGGACAGCGCCGTCACCAACGCCTTTTTGTCCTTCAAAGGTCAAGTCACGAAGTGTGCGCTTGAACATGTGCGCCCGGCCTCTACGCTTGAAGAGCTGTCCGCTGGCGCCTGGGAAGAGGCAATCAAGGAGCTGACTTCGACTGGCCGCACGCCTTTGGAGGACCTTGGTCAGGCGGCCAGTGATGCCGAGTCTGATGAGAGAGAGGATCCCGAACTTCCCGAACCACCAATGCCTGGCGCGGTTGCTCCCTCCACCTTGGCAGCGCCGCCCTTGACCGCTGCGCCTGGGACGCCAGTGGGTCACTTGGTGCGCCGCCCCGTGATGCAGAACGCCCTTCGACGAGCTCAGGGACAGCCGCTGGCTGTGGAGTTGGGAAGGCAAGCTCTTGTTCGAGGCCAGCCGGCCGACTTTGCCGCCGAGCTTCGTTCGTTGATGGAGAGAGGACGCAAGCGCAGCGCCAGCCAGAGTGTGGAACCATCTCTTTTGCTTTCGGAGGAGCCGGTGCCTTCTTCGCGACGGGTGTCTCCTACAGCGAGCGCTGGTGTTGCGGATCCTCCTCGACTCTCTACAGAACCACCTGCTGATCAAGCTTCAGTTGTTGGTGCTGCTGATCCCCATCGACCTTCTATAGAACCACCTGGTGATCACGTGTCAGTTGCCGGTGCTGCTGATCCCCATCGACCTTCTACAGAACCACCTGGGTCCATTAGCGCTGCATCTTTGCCGGCTGCTCTGGGTCCTGTAGTTCTGAATGATCCGCGGTTGGGGGAAGCGCGTTCGGCCTTTGAAGCCTTGACCTTAGATCACGAACAGCTACTTCGCTTAGCTCAAGGTGGCGCAGATCTTCATCCACTCCTACAAGTTCAGGCTCAAGTTGAATGTGACCGCTTGCAGGGTTCAGTGTCCGAGAAGGCCCCTGACCACGGAACCTGGGATGGACGTTGGAGCTTACCTTCGAGTTCGCAGCATGAGCTTCTTCAGCGACTTGGTGCTCCTTTACCCGCAGGACAACCTGATGACGTTCATGAAGTTTGTGCCGCTGGTGGGCGAAAGGAGAAAATTTGGTCCAAGATGTCCCCTTCAGAAAGGACGCTGTGGAAGGAGGCCGCAGTTAAAGGCTGGTCTGCTTACGTGGACAATGACGCTGTCAAAGTGTTGTCGTTGCAAGAGAGCCTCGCCGTGCGCAAGGAGTTGGCGCGCAAAGGGGAGCTGGATCGAATCATGACGCCGCGCTTCGTCTTGACCGATAAGAACGACGGCCTTAGGACAGAGGGTGCCAACTTGCCTCCAGCCCCGAGTGCTAGGTTGGTGGTGCCTGGCTTCAAAGACCGGGCGAACCTTGAAGGTGAGATTCGTCGTGATGCCCCGACAGGAAGCCGTTTGAGCCAACACCTTCTACTTTGCTTGGTGGCGTACCACAGCGCTACTTGGAACCTCTTGGCGGCCGACGTTAAGTCGGCTTTCTTGAAAGGCGATCCATTCGTCACCCGAGAGTTGTATATCGGCCCCACCAACGAGAAGACGGGCCCTGAAATTCCATTACCTCGAGGTTGCTTGGCAAAAGTCCTGAAAGGCGTGTTCGGACTCGCCGACGCGCCGCGCCAATGGTGGCTAAAGCTGGCCAGCTCCCTCGAGCGGCGCGGATGGGTTCGCTCGGCACTGGACCAAGCGGTCTGGTTTCTTTGGAGCGGGCCAGAGCGAAAGACTTTGTGCGGGATGATCATAAGTCATGTCGATGATTTGCTGCTTGGTGGCAATGCCTTGGCTGAGAAGTCCCTGTTGCAGGTGGGAGACGAGCTGGGGTTTCGTGAGGTCACCCGCAACTCCTTCACTTGGTGCGGCAAGTTCTTTGACAAGAAGCCTGACGGCTCGGTCACCCTGAGCATGAAGACCTACCACGAGAACCTCCGCGAGGTCACACTTTCTAAGAGCAGGCGCTCCGATGTGGCTGCTCTGCTGACACCCTTTGAACATCGCCAGCTTAGGGCTGTCTTGGGAAGTCTTCAGTGGTTGGTGGCCCAACTTCGCTTCGACCTTTCCTTCTGCGTGTCATCGCTGCAGGGAGAGTCTCCGCCTACGGTGGGAACTTTGCTGAGAGCGAACCAGGCCGTCCGGGAGTTCCAGAAGGACTGCAACTTTGAGCTGGTGTTTCGCGGGGTGAACCCGTACAAGGGCGGCCTGATGGCCGTTGCGGACGCTGCTTTGGGCAACGTCGACTTGAAGGGCTCGTCTCAGGAGGCCCCGCTCACCAAGGTGTACTCCCAGGCCTGCTACTTTATCATCTTGGCTGATGAGGAGCTCATGGCAGGACGCACGGGATCGTTCAACATCTTGGACATGAGGTCGCACCGCATCCCTCGAGTGTGCCGCTCCTCGTACGCAGCGGAAACGCTGAGCACAGAGGAGGCCTTTGATGTGGGCCAGTTGTGCCGAGGATTTCTTGCAAGTGTCCGGGGACTTCCCTTGCACAAGTCGACCCTGGACTCTTCGCTTAACTCCGTGCCCCTCTGCACCGTCGTAGACGCCAAAGACGTATTCGACAGGTCCAACAATGACTCCAACAGTTTCGGCAGCCAGAAAAGTCTAGCTTTTACCATCGCCTGGCTCCGCAGTGTCCTCAGAAGGCCCAACACCAGTCTGATGTTTGCAGACGGCGGTACCAAGGACATGGATCTCACGCACATGCGCAGCATCATGGCAGCTGGCAAATGGTCAGTCACCTACAGCCCTGCTTTTGTAAAGCAGGTGTCAAAAGGACAGCGCAAGCGCGCTGCGCCGACTTCGACTGCTGAGCTCATGGGGGAACCATTGGAACCTGGCGATCCTCTGCTCGGCCACCTCCTGAAGCTGGGTGAACAACGTGGCTGGCATCATCGCGCTGACATGGGCATCAACGTGGCGTACGACGCCAAGAGTTTTCGCTCTCCTGAACCGCGGTTTTCACCGGCCCAGTTCCCACTTAGAAGCACCTTTTGTCGGCTTGAGCTACAGACGGGCCAGGTCATGTGGCGATGTCTCGAGCGGGACTGTCGTTACCAAGATTTGGCAAACCAGCACGAACTCCTTCCTCACAGAGCTCCAATCCTCGTGACTTTCTTCACCAAGGATTCTGTACAGTGATCATGTCCATCGAAGCCTGCAGTTTCCGCCCTTTCGCAACAAAAGAAATAAATACGGATGTAGAAACCTGCATCAGGCATCGATGGCATGGCTGAGCTCTTCTCCGCCATCACCTTTTGGCTTAGGCCTTCAGCCGTTGGCTTGCGGCAAGGAAAAGGAGCGTAGGCCGCGTGGGCCCTGCTTTGCTGTGGGTTCATAGGCTACCTTCTTCAAAGGTTTTATGTTGTTGCTATCAAGTACAGCTGCGATCGTTGCGTGTTAAACCGGCGAGCCTGCCCAGCTATGGACCACGGAATAAAGCCAAGAGCAGAGGGATGTAATACAATATAGCAAAATAAATATTGTAATATATCATAAATCATAATGTATCATGACATCGCACAATATACTATCATATCATATAATATAATATAGTATAATGTAATATGATATAGTCTAATGTAATATAATATAGTAAGTTCAGGTCCGCCAGCAGAGAAGGAGAACCGGCGAGATGTTCGCAGGGCCTGGGGCATGGCGTCTTCTGGAGCGACCCGCTTCCCTGAGGCGCCAGTGTGTGTGTGTGCTTGCACGCTAAGGGCCGCTCGGCTCAGAAGTTGTGCTCTAAGTCCCGGTAGCTGCCAGGCAGTCATCCCTTGATCTGACCTATCGTGGCGACAGACCCCACACGGAGTGAACAAAGTTTCTCAATACCAGTTCGTTGTGTGGTGCAGCTCGGTTACAAAGCGCCTCGCGTGCACACAGAGGCAAGACGCAGGCTTTTATTTCAAGGATGCAGGAATGACTGCAATGTTTCAAAAAACATGAGGGAAGAGATGCCTGCTTTGCACTACCGCCTGGTGCCTTGAGGCACCGTAGCTGCAGCCGCGTGATGTGTTATGCTTGAGCACTTGTTTTTTTATTACGGCGAACACCAGCTCCTTCACCATGCGCAGCTACACTCCGAATGCACAGATGACCTTTCTGTCAGAAGGCACGTATTTGCAAGTTCTGATTTCTACTTCGCTACTTTGCCTTAAGCCAACTTCGGAAAGGCATCGACGGGCCGAAGCGGCATGGAATTCGGGAGTTCGACCGTTCACCTTTTATAATGTGGTGCTTGTGTGGTTGAGTGGTCCTTTTAAACGGATCTCGGATGCGAGTCATGCGAGGCACCCAAATACCTCTGCAGCCTTTTAGTTGCCACCAGCCAACAGATTGGCCGGGGCAAATTCATGTGAGGTGCCAGAGACGCAGCTCCCGCTTTGAGTCAAGATGCTCCTGTTGAAGCTTGATGTGTGAGGTGTCGTAATACCGTAAGTGCATAGTGGAGACGTTGTGCACTCCTGAACACTTCTGCTGATTCTGCCCCCTGCAACGTCAAAGGTCGCCATTAAAGCCTCCGCGACTCCTCTGCCTCAGGTGCAGTACCCCGCTTCGTGTTCCACTCTCGTCTCCGGGGTATAACTGTTGTCGTCCCTGGCTTCCCTTTGCAAGAGATCTTGCTTCTGGAGTCTGTCGTGCACGAGTGCCCTGCACATGTCATTCAGTCTCATGAGCGCTGGCAGGGAACACAAGCTTTTTTGAGCAGCACGTTGTTGCAGACCTTGCAGCCATGTAGACATACGATGGAGAGCTGCGTCATACAGAACTTCCATCCAACGCGTGTTCGTAACCTCTCGAGCCATGCCGGGCACCTCGATGGTCAGTCCTTCTCAGGTGTATTGAATGCACCGTAAGCAGAGACGCGAGCCGACCGAGCGCATGTTACCAGCGCGAAGCACTTGCCGTGAGACACCCTTCCTGCTGGATAGGCGGACATGCAGTGGCGGGCACGGGTTGGTTCGGAGGCCCGCAAGCACAAGACGCGCAGTGCGCCACTTCACGTGGTCTCGCTGGATCTCCTTGGATCTTCAGGAGTTCTGGGCCAGCTTCCCTCCACTGTCCCCACGGCCGGAGGTCGGATCCGGAGGCAGGAGTCGGCTCTAACATTCTTTAAGGCTGGGTTCTTGCTAAGGTTTTAGCAGGAACTTGAATGAAATCAAAAATATCAGGGTTATTCAGGCTACATGATGTAGTAATACAATGTAGAATCCCTGATCTTGGTGTCTGAACATCTTACATGGCTCGAAGACGCCACAGGCCTGGTCCCGATCCGGCTTAATGCATCGGCAATCGTTGGAGGCCTGCCGCTCAGCGACTCAAGCAAAAACGCCTCCCCCCAAAAAATATTCAAAAGCCCCACACAAAAAGTACAGGCCTTAAAGCCTAAACCCTAACCCTAAAAGCCGCACATCGTTGCTTTCTGCCCTAAACGCCGCAAATCGCTGCTTCGACTGTGCAGGCCGCCCTGACCCGCTTCAAGAGACGCACGCAGGCCCCCGGCAGCGTTTTCACAGCCCACTACCACGCAGAACTTTCATCTGTGCAGGTGAGCGGCGAGGTTCCCGCAAATCTGGCAGGCCAGAACACGAAACCCGACTCATCGGTCGTGTGGAGAGTTCATGTCACATGCCTCTCCTCTGTCGCAACTTGCAGAAAGGCCCTTGTCTTCGGCTGTTAGAGTCTGCTCCTGGTAGTGACCCTGGGTGGAGGAGTACGAGTTCCATGGGCTCAACGCTGGGAGATGTTCCGTCCTCAGACGAAGCGGGGCCATGCCTTAGAAAGTTCTCTTAACGGTGATGGCTGGTCTGTCTGATCGGTCATGTGTTTCCGACGATCAAGTGGAGATGCCTCATAACGACATGGCAGTTGGGACGCACATCATCGCGAGTCTCGCAACCGCTCATACCTTACAGGAACTCCTCGCATGTTCTTGTCATTGTTTAGGTTCTGTTCCTCATCAGGTCAAGCAGGGCTGCTGCCGACCTGGTGCTGGATGCAGGTCGGCGGACTGGAGTGATTATATGAGCAAGCTTGATGTTGAGTCGCCTTGTCTGCAGGAGCCAGGCAGCTGAAGAACCAACTGCAACAGGCACGCTGAACAGGGCACGAACCAAGACACTGCGTCTCTGCGTCTGTGCGCCTCTAGGAGCGGCTGCTGCGACAGAAGGCTGAGGACGAGGCGCAGAAGTCCCCGGCTGAGTGCCAGCGAGTACCAGCATGGGCTGTGCCGACGCATCGTCAGAAATGACCTTCATGTTGCCGAGGCTTCGTGCGAGGCTGGGAGAGGCAGCCTGAGACGCCTCCCAGAGAACAGATGCCCCACACTGATAACTTACGTTCTTTGATGCGTTTTTCTGTTGGGCAGAAGTGCCTACCGATGGCATGCATCGGGTGTCTCACAGGAGTCAGTTTTAACGACAGGAGCGCTATGAAAACCCGAGTCTTGGCTTCAACAAGCCTGTCACCTGAGTTTCGGCCTGTCTCGCTGAAACTCGCCGTAGAACTCGATAGTTATTTGCTCTGGCTTCGCCAAAGGCGGCATCCTAGCGTCGGGGCTACCATGATGAGCAGCAGGACACCATGCCATGCACGGGACCATGCTGGCTAAAAAAGGAGGCTCCTTTCCACAAGCTGTGTCCCGCAACAAGGGATAAAGGGGGTTCCTTGAAGAGAGACCCTAAGCCAGAAATCTTGGAGTCGAAGCCGAAGCCCTGATGAAAACCTAGCAAGCCAGGGGTAGTTCACCTGGCCTAAGCCAGATTGGGCAGGGGATGGACAGCGGTCTTGCTTCTTGCCTGCTGCCTATGGTGGTCATCAAGCTGTGACGTTTTAGGATCCAGCCATCACCAAGCTGCCAAGCTCAACGCAGCGACTCACACAGGCTTGCGACCAGCCTACGACCTATGCGATCTAGCACATGATGCCACAAGATGCACAGACTTCTGGGTAGCCCTCTAAAATCGAGTCCCTTACATGGGTCCCCTCATAGAATAACAGCACCCTTACAATACCCCCCCTCCCCCCCCATTGTCCCAAACCACTGCATCCTAAGCCTCTAAACGCCTCTTCAGCCTCTCGTGCCGCGATGTGCTCCCATGCCCCAGCGCAGGCGTCGGTGTTCTTACTCTATTATTTGTGTCTATTTTTTGCTACTATCACTAGGAATATTCCGATTGGCGTTGGTTTTTTTGATTAATATGCTTACAAGTATATTATTTCTTCTTACCTATTATTGCTTTCTGATTATTTGTATTTTAAGACTCTTATTCATATGATCGTTAATATGGTTGTTCGTACTAACATTTGAAATATTATTGTCCTGCCATGAATGCAGGTGCAGATATCTCCGTGAGTGAAGGACACGCCGTGGATTGCACCGGCTTGTGCCAGATGCAGCCGGTACCACCTCCCGAGGCCAGCCTGTCTAAACCAGTCTATTTGCAATAATTAGTATAAGAGTATTGTTATTAGCAGTACTATCCGATCCTAATTACTTGATATTACTGTTAACATTCTTGTACAAGGGTGTCTTGCGCCAAAGTTTGGCCAAGGTAAGTGCCGAGCTTCATTCCTGGCTGCTGGATCTTGGCACCGTGAAGGGGAAACATGGCCCGAACCTTGCGTCTGCACAGTGGGCATAGTGGGCGCACCAGCGGCTCTCATCTTTCGTCAGTTGGTCGTACTCAGTACTCACGAAAGCCGGATGCAGGTCAGGCTGGCAAAGCATATGTGCTTCCTGGTCGCCTGGTGGTCCCTTGGGCTGAAGTGCGAGTGCCGATGCTGGCCACTGTACACGCCTACAGTGGGTATTAGGTCTTCGTAGGGAAGCTAATCATTTGCAACGGGCGCAGGCAAACCTGGTGTCTGGGGAGGCCGAAGAAGCCACGCACAGATTTAGCAGTCGCATGACGTAACGGCAAATGGAAGGCTTTCGTGGACCTGCTGAATGCGATTTTTGCAAAGCACTCGGCCCTGCACTCGGTGTTTCTGTGCTGCTGGCCATTGTGATTGTCCTTCTTGGTATGACTGCCGCTAGACGTTAGATGCTGTTGCTACTGTTACTGTAATTTTCATTTTCACGCTATGCGACCAGCTTCGGCCGGGCCCGTGGCCACCGCAACGGCGAAGCGGTCGCCAGCTTTCGGGAAACCTAGCTCTTTGGAGGGTAGCTCAAGGCGCGAGAAAGGGACGGTGGTTGGGAATGGCTACGAAGCTGGGGTGGGTTGGGGGTAGGCAAGAGAAGGCGGAGGGAGAGGCGGGGGCGGGCGAGGGGCTGGGTTTCTTGGTCCTGACGCACCGTAGTACCATGAGATCCGGGAGGTAGGGTCCTGCCTTATGCTCCCCAGACTCCTACAGAAGAAGAAGAAGAAGCAGAAGAAGGAGAAGAAGAGGAGGAAGAGATAAATGCCGACACTATACATGTATGTGCACATGTTCATTGATTTTCACATTGTCTTTTTTGCTGCCGGTAGTTGTGCTTTCAGGTCAAGCAGAAGCTGACGGCGCACGCAGGTCAACCACACCAGACCTGGACACAGGCTGGTTCACCGCTGCAGTGAACGTCATGCTCCGGAGGAGTTTCAGCTCTGTGTACATCGCAGGAGTAGTTGTTGTCATGGCGCGTGTTGCAGCCTATCTGATGGTTGCCACTTGTGAGATGGGTTTGGGTCTCTCCAGGTACGGTACCTGAGGTTGGCCCCCACCGCTTGACGTCTTTTAGCTTGTGGGCTTGTATCGTTTGCCATCTACTGGGACTGTCATTGGCCACCTGTTATCCCAGAGAGTGTGCTTGTGGCATGACGTTTCAATGTCAGGTTTGGTTACACTGCTCCGGAGTTCCCACATGCCTGTTCCAGATATTCAGGTTGAAGTATTCCTGGAAACTCTCACTGGTGTTCTGGCCCTTTCTACGTCCATACTTGTCTCCACTTCTCTCAATCCCGGTTCTCATTTTAATGCAGCAACACCATGGCAAAACCAGTTTCTAGGTCTCCGAGTGAGCTGCTAAAGATGTCGTAGGTCGCCATGAACCGCAATGTGCACTTATGTGTGCCATGCAGCGATGACAGTTTTTCATGATACACGACCTAGGCCAGAGCTCGGGATAAACGATTCAAAGGACATTGAGCCAAAGCAACCCTTCGAAAGACTCATCTTGTTTCCTGTGAGGTTGCCAAGGGGTTGCGCCGAATGTCTGTTGAGCTGGACAATGCTGCCTTGGCAAGCATCTTAAATCTTTTCAGGTTTTGCATTTTTGTCACGGCCGGCAGCGTGCGACTCTTCCATTCTAAGGCCACGTTGGCGGGTGGGGACCAGGCGAGTCTAATGATGCCTTCCCGTTTCGGCATGTTTGGAAGCGTCTGACTTGAAGGCTCTGGTCTTGGAGCTCTTGAAGGACTGAAGGGCGTGCCTGTGTAGGAATTGCTAGAGGCTGGAGGAGAATTCAGAGCCCCTTCAACAAGAGGAGCTCCACGTGGTGTACCAGCACTGGTCGTCACAGGAGGCTGTGGCTCCTGCTTTCCATGTCGGTTTGTACAGTTGGAGGTTGACCTACAATCATGAGCCCTTTTCAACACGAAACCCTCTGAATAACAAAGGGTATACTAAAATTAAAACCGGCCCACATGTTCTGTTCCCGTCCTTTCCTCCCCTCCTTATCTAACCCAGAGGCCACGCGACAGAGGCGGACTCGGAGCCGTCCGGTCCGGTCCCCAAATGCCTGCCAGGTCGCATGACGTGGGGGTTTACGAAGAATAAGGAACCCCGAATAAAGACCCCCAAAAGTAGGATTCCCTTATAATCAGGACCCAAGAAGGTACCCTGAATTTCGGAACCCCCAAATGTGGTCAGTTCCGCATCTTCTCCCTTTTTTTGGGACCCCAAAGAACTGTAAAGGCCAGGCATTGGCACTCTCCGTGCGGCTCACCATCCACCCGCCTGTAGGTCCAGGCGCAGCAAGGACAGCAGAACGGCTACGCCGGGCATGCCGTGAGCTGAGTTGTGTCGCCCTACATCCCAACACCCCCCAAGCCCTAAACACCCCGAAACACCCCTAAACACCCCTAAAATCCCCAAAACACCCCGAAACACCCCTAAACACCCCTAAAATCCCTTAAAATCCCTTGAGATCCCCTAAAAATCCCCCAACGTCCCCGAAAATCCCCGAAGCCCACAACCCATGGTTGGTGGTTTGCAAGCCGCACCAGCAAGGCGCGGGGTGGCGCAGCCGGACCCGATCGCGACTCGCGAAGGGATGCCGCGGTACCTTGACGACCAGAGTATGATGGTATACTATAGTCGTTTATATTCTGCTACAGGGGATTCGTGTCTATGATGGCATGACACAGTTGGCTATAGTCTGTTCTCGTCTATTTTCGTGTCTGTTATAGTTCACCGTGGCCTACGTCTATGGTATCATGGAACATCTAGTGCTAAGGTGTAGATGGGTTGGGCATCGTGTTCATGGGAGGCGGATGCGCCAGAGAAGCGGAAAGAGGTCGGTCCGCCAGTCGGTCCGACGGTCGGTCCGACGGTCGGTCCGACTACGACTTCGCAGCCGGCATCCCCCGTGAAGGAGCCCAAGCCGTCTGCCAGGCGAGGTGTTTTTCTTTGACAGATTCCGGGCCCTTCCATGCTTGAATATGCTTGAGCTACGCTACCGGCCCTATCCGTCACTACAGCAGTCAGTGCCTTGCGTCCTTCAAGCGCACGTTGAGGCCCCCAAGCCCAGAGAGACTCTTTACAGATCCTTCAGTGCCAGCCTCGGAAGCTGTGGTCGTCGTCGTGGTTCAGGGGCAACGACTGGGTTTATGTCGATTCGGGGGTTGTTCGTAAACTTTTCGTAGCTGGATTCAATGATGCACGTTGCGCATGAGGAGGCCTTACACTGTTTCACAGCTGCACGAAATCCTGAATAAATTTCGGAATTTCTGTACTTGTAGACGGGGCTCTTTACAGCCGGGGCCACACCCTGAGGAATCGTGTTGCACTTTGCTGCTTTCTTTTCAGACTTAACAGAAGAAAGACAATCTGAGATCTGCGATCGCTAGCAGCATGCGGGAAACCCTGGCCCTCCACGGGTCTTATGCACAGCACTCACCGAGACCTTCCGCCATACCTGAGTTTGTGGATGGGCATGTTTTCATTTGTACAGTGCCCAACCTCAGGAGGCGAGGTGAGGAAGTCTTCCTCCTGCAGCAATCACACCATTTTAGTTCTTGCGAGACTAGAAGCTCTGGCTTAAGTCGGCTCGCAGAATCTCGCAGACAAGTTCTGGTCACACCTCTAAGCAGACATCAGCCGGATGTGAAGATTGCAGCAAAGGATCGAAGTGTTTGCCACAAGCGCAAATCTCTCGAATGATGCCTCCAGGTCTACCAAGAGCCGGGAGTTCTCTCGGACTTTCTGACACGGAGCCTGCAGAGACTCGGTGATGAGAGGACTTCGAGAGTGGGGGCGAAGTTGGACATGCAAAGTTGACGAGCCTGAAAAGCGCCGCTTCATCTGCAACTGGTTGCAACAGGAGCACCGCAGGAACGCTGCAAGCAGCTGCCGTGTTGGCAACGGACTTGTGGTTTGCAGGCACGATGACACAAGGGTACCCACCCAAACCACAGAGGTACTATGCACATGCGACTCCGAATCATGCAAATCTTTACGGGAGCGCTTGAAGTAATGCAGGTGTAAGCAAGTCCTCGCCACAAGAAGGCTGCCCAGCTGCATGTGCAAGCCAAGAACTCCCTGTAGCATCTATTGTAACCTGTGGCAATCAATCCTTGCCGTGGCTGAGGGCTGGCGGACCTGCTAGCCGCGCTGAAGAAGGTGACACAAAGCAGGCCTCACAACTGACTTTCAGATGAGCTCGTGTCTGCAGCGATGCGATTCACCTTGTCAAGGCATGGACGGTGTCCGCACATGGTGCTGCTGCCTGTTGAGTTGGTGTTCGGAGTCCACTGGGAAGCAAAAGCAGCTAAGCTGAGCTGCAGACGAAAGCGCAATGCAAGTAAGAGCCTGCTTGATTTCGATTCGCCCTGCTCACCTTCAACATGTTCGCAAAACGTGTGTTTGCATGTTGTGCTTTCTGGGATAACGTTGTTCCTATTCTTGCAGGGGTTGGTCAGCTGAGTCAGCTGTGTGGACTGCTGCGTGCCAGGTTGCCTTCTCATGCATGGCAAGACTCCTGTTGCACTCTGAGAGCATGCCACATATGTGCCTCTGTCACTTTTCAAAGCGTAGTGTGAACAAGAGTTGCAGGTCACAGCTCTGTGAAAACCAGGATGTCGAAGGGGCTCCGGCCGTGTGCGCTGAGAAGTTAGGAGCTTGCCACAAAAGTCACGAAGTGTGAATGAGGTGCGGGTGTGTGCCAGGTACCGGACGTTCATCTATGCACTCGCCCAGGGCTGAAAGGCTATGGCTGGCTTTGGAAGCTATGAGACGGGCTTCACGTCGCATGTTGCTGTTGGTAAGATCCACAGCGACTCAGGTGGAGTGTGAGAGCCACTCTTCGCGAGAGTTCGGCACTCGCTGCTTGCTGAACCTGCTTGAGAAGTACGAAGGAGTTGGACACCCAGATTCCGCATGCCTCTGTCGGTTGCGAAATTTTGCCGGCTTGCCACTGCGGATGGTTGCACGAATGGGCGTTGTTTCACAATTGGATTACATGTGCTACGTCAACCGGTACCAGATCGAATTCTCTTGCGTTTCATTACGTTCTGTTTCTAGTCTATTCTCTTCTATTCTGTTCAATTCTGTTCTATTCTGATGTCTTGCACGGTGTTAGGTTATGTCGTGTAATGGTTTGTCATATTTGGCTCCAGTATATTGTGTTCTACTATATTATGCTTCATTTTTGGCACACCATATAATGATCTTATATCACACATGATCATATGACATCATATTTGTTATTTGGCGACATTTTTTGCGCTGTGTTCTGTGTCGTTATGTCATACGACGCATCACATCACATTGTATCATACGATTCTCTTTGCTGCCCATGGCATCTCATCACCATGCCGTCTTACACAGCATCTCATCTGACTTTTTGTTCGGCTCGGTTTCGTCCGAGCTGGCCAAGTCCAGGTTCCTGTGGGAATACTGGCTGAGCTCAGCGTCAAGAAGTTTCAGGCATTCGGATGCCACGAGGCTGTGGAGTTTCTTCTGACATAGTCTGGTGGTGCTAGCAGGCCAGTGCTGCAGAACCTCTTGCGGTGATTGACGTCGAGCTTTTCCTGGTGCCCCAGAGAATGTCTTGCCTTCTTGCCTTGGTACGCATCCACAGATGAGTAGATATGCCGCCTTGCTGGAGGTTATCGCAAAGCATCCTCGCTGCACAGATCGCCATGCGGAGATGTGAGACTCTGAGACGCAGCTTCGGGATCTCGATGGCACAGATGGCTCTTGTGGTGGGAAGATTGGCCGCGTTGACCTGAGGCTTGCGCAGGTTCTCGTCCGAACTGCTGGCGTGGCTTGTCATCTCTCAATGATGGAACGTTTGGAGACGTGGTTGCAAAAGCTGCTGCATCTGCTGCACGGGTGCCAGGCTGTGCATTGGAAAATGCTGACGTTGGACGTGCTGCGAGCGTGAGCCTCATTCAAGCAGTAGAAGTCAGGATAGGTCAAGTAGGTGGGAGGCCTGTCTGCTGATGCATGCGGGAACGCCACATGCAATTCAGGCCTTCCCCTCCTGGTCATATTTCGACGTTTTGCACATGAGGAGCTGCAACTGTGAGATTGTTTGCCGAATAGGAGTTTACTTGTACACCTTTCCTGTGCAAGTCTGGGCCCTGGGCGCTAGGACAGCCTTCAAGCGTTGTTCGACCACTTTGTGCAGGCTGAAAAGTGCATGTCGCGACAGGTCAGCCAAAAGACCGTAAAAGCTCCCAGCCGAACCCTAGCATTTTCCAAACTCGGCAACATTGTTTCGCATGGTAGCACATATGCGATATTGTGTGAGTATTGTTATTAGTATTAGTAGTGTTATTGCTATGACTATGATTAGTACGTATTGTGGTATTTATGGTGGAAACTTGCCTTCACAGGCACAGTATGCCACTTACCTATGTGAAGCTTGTCGCAGGTGTCTCTGACAAGGCTGCTTCCTTAGTGCAGAAGGGCGCACGCCTGTACCTGTGTGAATCGATAGATCGTGCTCAGTGGAAGCCAAGGCTAATCCAGCGCGGGACACCGAAGATGCAAGTCAACCAGGCTGGACGACTGCTTGAACTGCAGCTGGGCTAGCTTCGCAGAAGGTGGCCGTGTTGAAGCGTGCTTGGAATGCGATGCTGAGGTGCACGAGATCCTTGCGAAGATTGCTTGCATGCGTGCCTGGTCTGCACGGTCAAATATTTCCAGCGATGATCCGAGAAAGTCAAAGGCGTCCCTTCCTTGGACAAACGAATGCGCCGCCTCCTTCAGGAGGCAGACGTGGCACTGGATTTTCAGTCTCTTCGAAGATCAATTTCTCTGTTGGCTGAAGCTGACCCGTGCGAATCGCCTGCAGGTCTGCAAGGCGTACTTGTCCAGTTATGTCGAGCTGCATCCGAACTTGCAGGCAAGCACGTGCTTGTTGGTACGTGCTTCAGAGAGTCGCCAGTTTGAATTCACCTGCGTCTGAATGGTGATTGGTCACTATGATGCACTCATCTCCCCTGTTGCAGACTTGTTGCTGGATCTCCCTGCAGCTTGCTGGGTCGAGTTAGCGTAGACCCAGCCCAGACCGATAATTTAGAGAGCACGTGAAGCTTCAAGCTCGACACAAGCTCTGCCGTCGCTGGGCTAAACGCATACAGGCGAGTCATGTCTTGGGCGCATTCTGCAGTAAGGTACAAGAAGGCTTCGCGGCTTCACGAAGGCAGGCAGACAGTTCGGAATGGGCTACAGCAAACGCCTCTGCTTCTTCCAAAGCCTCTCTCGCTCCATTGATAAGGCCTCAACTCTCTTGGACTTCGACGTGTCCTGGGCATCACTGCTTGGGTTCTCCAGTCCCTCTTGATGAGCGGGACGCAGCTGCCTGTCCGCAGCAGCAAAGTCACCAGAGAGTGTGGTTCGATGGGAGTCTGGCCAGCATGGCTGTCACATCAGCCCGACCGAGGTAGCTGCCAATCGCAAATGAAGCTCTGGCATCGAGGCTGGGCGCTACTGTATGGTACCGTCGTGGATATGCTCGGACAATGCACCGGGTACCTGTGCAGGCTTTCTGGTTGGCTGTCTCGCAACCCTCCTTGGAGCCGTCAAGAGGCCCAACCTAAGGCTTGGGCCGGATGTCCCGGCCTCACATCCCCCGCAAAAGCATTTGTGGCCTTGAGGCTTCCTGAAGCCCTCTGACTCCAACCCCCGAATACCCCCCAATACCCGGCCCGTAGAGTGCTGTAGAGCCCCCAAGGTCCGTCCTGGTGATGGGCCGGGCTTTGGGCACTCCCACACACTGATCTCCCTCTTGGAGACGCACTCGGCTCTCTCTGACGAAGCGCGGCTTCCCAGCCTCCGTTTCGTGAGCTGTGATATGTTGTTTAGGGCCGTGTCAGACAGGTGAAGAGCGATATCCAGGACCTGTTCTCCGCCGTTTCTGCTCAGTCCATCCCAGACGTCAGGCGGCAACTCAAAGAGCTCTCTCACTATGATTCAGAGGTCTCTTGCCATGTCTTGCCATATGGCTCTTCAGGCAATTTGACCGCTACATAAGCTCCCTCGCAACTGCCCTGGTGTCTCTGTCAGAGAAGGTGCCTTCCTCGAGTCATTCCAAGCTGCCTCAGCTGCTGTTCCCCTTGCGTTGTCTTGTGTCCTGGAGGTGGGAGCACCCTACTTACAGGACCCTCTGAGTCAGATTCTGAAGGTCATCGACAAGACGCTCAAACCGGGCATCTTGGACCAGCAGCGCGCTCGGACGCGCTCCGTGCAGTGCGGGAACACAGCAGGTTGAAGGGGTGAACGGTGCAGAACAGCAGTAACAGCAGCCCAGGCATGCGGCTACGGAGCAGGCCCTGGACTCAGAGTCATGTCTTTTTACATGCCGCCGACCCTTTACGAGCTTTTTCAGATGCGAGAGGCTTTCGGGGGGGGGAGGGCGGGGGGGCGGAGGGTACTTCCAGTCCGAGAGCTTTGTAGAGCTGAGGCCATCGCGCGTGCAGATCAGGGCGTCCTGGATTGTCGCCGCGGCTGCAAGATCAGACGGGAGTGTCGGAAAACCAGCGGAACTCTGCAATACTGAAGTGTTTCTGACGAGCTTGAGGTTACCATACGCTATGGAGAGGCCTGAATGCCTCCAATGCCATCCGTGACTCCTTGGCAGGCAAGAGCCAAGCCCCTTATCTACAAAGAAGCTGAGCTCCGACTTCGCACATGAAACGAGTCGCTGCGCTTCTGCGAAAACTTTTAGCTGTAGCTCAAGCCGAGCTTGTCTGGCCACGTCGTCCAACTGTAGGCCCCCTGCAGCCTTGTCCAATTGCCGGTTCAACTTTGTCGCTCAGGCTATCAAGTCCTGCTACAGCTCTGTGGCAGCAGCACTTGGCCAGCAACAAACGAGCAGACAAGCGGACCCGTATGTTTTGAGCTTTGCCCGCAACCATTGCCACGAATTGCAACCCAGGCATCGGATGGCGTTGCCGCAGCGCTAGTCAGTCTCCCAAGGCAATGTCTGCCAAATAGCACATGTTTGCACATTCTGACTCAGTTGTTTTTCAGTGCTACACATGAGATGCCAACAGGTTGTTGTCTACTCGCGCATCCGACTGCGAGAATCTACTCGCAGCATCTGACGTCAGTAAAGCTCCTCTTCAAGACACGAGGCTGCAGAGAGTTTCAGCCAACTCAAGCCTTTCTAAGGGAAGGAGCAGGTACTCGTACTGCTACCATCTAATCCAAGGCTTGGGCAACCAGCTGTGACCATCATGATAGCCCAAGTGTGGGCACTTATCTCATGAAGCAGCTTATGCACTGGGAGGCACCAGGGCCATTGAAGTGAGCGGATGTGCTTGCATGCGCTTCGCTTTTTGCTGGGAATGTTGTAGGCCTCAGGAGTTCGCCTCGCGAAGATGTCACTGATTCCGCCCCATGAAATAATGTAAGCTGCTACTCGTTACTAGTTACTAGTTACTAGTTACTAGTTACTAGTTACTGGTTGCTGGCAGGAGCTCCTGCAGCAATACGACGACACTGAGAAGCGCTGCAAGGAGTCAACTCAAAGCTATGAGACGCAGGTCGTGAGGCAGGACGACGCACACCACGGAATCTACGGAAGCACTGTTTTTGATCAAGTCCAGTGCTTACCAGGTACAACTCGATGAAGAGCAGCGCGCTCAGCTTTTTGAAGATGGGCCTGAATGTGCCTGCATGGTGCAATCGCTAGCGAGTTCTGCAGGCCGTCAGAGCGATGGAGCAGATTGTCGGCCCCTTCAAGCTGACATGGATGCAGCAGCATGCAAACAGGTGGGAAGCCCTACGATGACCCATATTGGTGCATGATGTAAAGTGATGAGGCGCTGGATCGGATCGAATCTTGCCAGACCTATAGCAGCTGCATGAACGCCAGATTCTCAGCCTGACCTGTGCTGCTGGGACAGCGGCGCGTAGCCGTACATGGTGCAAAGTGAGCATGGCATGGCACATCAGGGCTTGCTGTGTGCAAAGTTCTGAGTGACACCATGTTCAGCTCTCTAAGTACTCATAGATCCGATGTGGAGCATTCTGCATGTTGCTGGATGACTCAGTGACTCCTTGCCACAGCTGCCACGGTATCGCATTTCTAAGCCCTAAGCCCTCTTCATTAAACTTAAGCCCTAACCCCCGAACCCTAAACCTTAAACCCTAAATCCCGAGAAGTCTTGGCACCTGTCAGGAGAGCATTGGCGACCGAAGGGCCCTCCATGCGTGCCTTTGCTTGCAACACAGCCTAACCCTCCGTCTGAGTGTTGTGGCGCCCCGTTTTCGCCTGATGGCGCACCGGAGGGCAAAATGTCTGAGGTCACAGTGCAAGGTTGAAGTGACCCTGAAGGCCATCATGTTCCACAGCTCTATCGTAAATTTATAGTACATTCCTGATCACCTGCATGATGTCGGAATGTCGGAAAGGCACAGTGGTATGCCTTAGAGTCGATGAAGTGCTTGCTGGAAGCATATGAAGACCACGGAGGTTCTGAGGACTGTCACTCTTTCAGTGCATCCCAGTCGGGACAAGTGTGAAGCTTCGCAATGCTTAACGAAATGCTTCGTGCATCTTCAGGATTTGGTTTCGAGATTTGCCACCTGCAAGTCCCGTGACCCTGAAAGCTACAAGCTCCAGTTCCTCTCGCTGCGTGGCTGCCATGCCGTTGAGGCCAGAACTGGAAGCTCGAAGCTCCAGTTCTCAAAGCAGTGAAGGATTGAAGGCTCCAAGTTCCAAGCACTCCTGGCTTCTGTGCCAGGCCGATCTGGCGGATGCACTCGCCTCCGCGAACGCGAACTCGACGACTTCGCGGGAGTGTGCCGTCACCAAGGAACCACAGAATGATCCGTCGCTCGCCGGTGGGCGTCTCAGATTTTGAATGCTCCGTGCCGCGCCTGTGCCTCCTTGCCATGGCCTCTTAGGTACTGCTGCTTATGCCGCCTGACTGCCACTACAGTCTGCCGCTACATTCTAAGAAAAGAAAGGCTGCCTCTGGTTCTCGCTTGGACGATGCTTCTGAGGCGGCAACATACTACCGTGGCTTCGAGGCAACGAAATGCACTGCGAAGTGCTGCTCGCAGCCGCCATACGTAACGTCCACAACGACAACCACGTCCACAACGACAGTGTCCACAACGACAACCAGTGCAATCCTGAGAGAGCAGTTGTCATGACTTTGTGTAACATCTGGTCACAGCGGCAACATGCAAAACGGCTGCCTGGCGCATCTTGCCCATCCATCTGCTTCGCCAATGCTGCATCGACGTTTTGGCGGGAGAGGGCCCCCAGCGCCGATGGAACAAAAGCGTTTCTAGGAGAATGTTCGGCGATGAGTAGCTTCAGCCTCCTGGGCCCCTCAGCATCCTCAGCATCTCCCTTTCCTCGGGGTGCTTCGGGGCGACTGGCGAAATGGGACGGCGGAGAGGGATAGCCATGCAAAGCCTGATCCAGCTTTCTGTTTGTCGTCCAACAGCACTGCTGTTCCAACTATTCTTCGGGCTGTTCCGAACTGCGCTCTGGGACCCACAGGAGAAGGTAAAGACTGGCAATGCTGCACAAGCACTGCCCAGGGTGCGACGTAAGTTTCAGGTCCGGAATGATTGGGAGGAATGTTGCCACAGGTCTCTCGTAGAACTGCGTACTGTCGCAATGCAACTCTGAGCACTAGGCTGCGCTTGAGAAGTTACTTGCTAGCCGACAGTGACGCTATTTGGTGCAAGTTGCTTGTGAGGCACAGCAGTGTGTTCCTTTGCCGCACAAGCCGTTGACCGGGGTCAGGCGTTCGGAAAGTGTGTGATGGGGGTGCTGCAGCAGAGGCAATGCCACAACCGTCAACATGGAGCGCACGAAGCAGGGCAGTTGTACAAAGCTCACAGACGGCCGCCCAAGGCTCCAAACATGTTGTACGTGCACTGCATGCGAGTGCTACCCAAAGTTTCGCCAGAGTGCCTTTGTTTCTGGAGGTGGGTCGCTGGGCTCTCACCAGCACCAGGCACCCCAGAAGAAGCTCTTAAAGAATTTGGACTCGCCTTGGAATCTGGCCTGACAAGTTGTGGGTGCATCTGGATACATTGTTGCGATGTTTCCTGTCAGATCTGTCAGCTTGTCGGACAATGTGGGGCAGGAGGTGCTGGAAGTGTGCTGAGGCCATCAAGTCTGCGAAGGTGATGAACACATCGAAGTTGGAAACTCCTGAAACGGAGATCCCACATGCGGCCTGGCTGGAAAATGTCGTGAGCTAGCTTCAACACTTCAAAGAAATCACCTAGACCCAGATACGAGGACAACAGCACTCTGAATGTCTATGTAGAAGAGCACACGCTGTTGTCAACATGTCCGCGGCATGTCGCCAAGCAGCACGCCCGTATGGGCTTGTAGCATCTTGGAATTAGGCTTCTGATGTGCACAGACGTGCCGAGGCTCTGAGGTTTAGGGCCAAAGCTGCGGTTTTAGGAATGTTTCGGGGTTGGAAGGATCCTCTCATCTTGCTCAGTACCTTGCGGGCTTGCCGAGGTGGTAATGGATGCCGCGCACGCCTTAGTCGTCTGGAGGATGGCCGCGCGGTTGGCTTCGACTCATCAGCAGAGTGTGCCGCCTGCTCCGAGGACAAGAAGTTGACAGTCTACTTCAAGCACCCGGGCAGCTGCGATGAACAGCGTCGGGTGTTGGAGAAGGTTCTTCCAGCTGGCAGGCCCGACAGTAACTAGGGAGAGTTTAGAATTCAGATTCTAGAGATCACCTAGTTCTCTCCAACTTGGAAATAGGAAGTCTAAGAACTTCCCTCAGCTGCAGGAGCATCAAGATGCACCGCTGCAGGGGCACTGACGACTACTTCGTCTGAGCTGCGTGCAGTGAGGTTTAGAGTTTAGGGTTTAGGGTTAAATGCAGCTGCCCAGCAATGGGAAGAAATTGGCACACCTTATTGATTTCAGTAGTCACATCCTTGGTCCTTGGCACGACTGTGTAACCCTTGCGCGCGAGTGGCGCATGTTTCACTCAATGGGCGGATGACCTGACATTCTTGTGCAGGTTCGAAAAAACAACGTTCAGCCCACAAGCAAACATTATTGCACTGCACTTTCCCATGCACATGCGAAGCTCAGGTTTTGGCAATGCAGTTGTGAAAAACCCAAAATCCACATCTGACTCAGCCGAAGAAGTGCAGAAGCTTTTCAGGCCGTGCTGGATCTCTGGCCTGAAGACGAGCGAGAGGTGAAGCTATGGGCACTGAGCCCGGAGAATGGAGGGGCCACTGCAGACGGTAGCACCTGTCGCGCGAGCTGTAGGTGCAAGCGCTTCAAGTCGAGGACTTTGACGATAAGGGGGGTGTTGCTTCCATGTTGGGGGCGTTGCTGAAGCTGTCAGGAGGCAGCGCCAATGTATGCATCTGGTGGCGATGATTTTGCCAGCCCGGCGCCGAGTGACGGAGAACTGATGGAAGCTGCGCCAATGCAGACTTGTCGCGCTGCGGAGCATCTCCTGCGCAGGCACTGCGAATCAGGGCTTGGAGCTTCGTTCCATCTCGCCATCAGTGCGCGGAATCCAAGATTCAGAGGAGCGCTGCGAGTGGTCCATGCCCAGAATTCGCCACGCTTCTCCAAGGCACAACGATGCACAGCCCAGGTCTTCACCGTGAGTGTTTCGGGCATTTTCGAGCTGTCTTTCCTGGTGTTTCTTGTTCCGGAAGGTCTCACTCCTTTGCTGACAGCGCGCCCCCTATGCTTTGGGCTTCACCAAAGTTCGCTGGCCTGCTGTTGATTTGGCAAGCACATGCTGCGTTGTGTCAGGTTCGACCGTCCAAGTCGCGCAGCTCGCAAAAGAGCAGGGGGCTTACTTGACGAATGGAATCGAAGAATCGCAGCATAGGGTGGTTGTCTGGGGCAGTTCGTGGTGTTGTCCTCAAACTTTCCATGCGTATATGCACAAGTTGAAGGCCCGAGCTCTTCACTAAGGACCGAAATCCTGCGTGACGAACTTGCTGTTGCAAAGGACCGTCTGCAACAAAGCTTGATTTTCACCAACTTTTGTTCCGCAGATGTGTCTCGCATGTTTCTCTCTCTCTCTCCCTCTCTCTCTCTCTCTCTCTCTCTCTCTCTCTCGCTCTCGTGTTTTAGGACAAGCAGGCGAAGGCCCTGGCTGAAGCGGAGGCGCCACCGAAATGTGCGACACATGGGCGGCATTGATTGAGCGTAACGCCTCAACGCACCCAAGCTCCCTAAAACTCCCCAAAACCCCGAACATCTCTTTGGCAGATTGTCAGATTGCAGGCCCTCCGAAAAGAGTTGGGTCTAGACCTGAGAGCCTGAGCTTGCGGCTGCTAAGCCTGCACAGTCCCAGTGCAGTTCCAAGCATGGGCTCACAAGGAGAAGCGAAGGAATTACAAAAAAAGGCGGGGCCATGATCCAAAGCCTGTTCTGCTGGTAGGGTAGGACTGTTGACGTTGCACTGAGCAAGTCTGTAGGCGTGGTTTTTCTGGAAAGGGTGACAGACTGTACAACAAAGGAACTTGGGTCGATGCAAAGTTTAAACCCGCCAATGGCAAGGGCCCCTGGCAAAGCACCGCCAGCACTACCCACGTTGCACGTTTCTTGCTGCCTGACCACCGTCTAATTTTCTCTGCCGCTCCCACACACTGACTTCTCTGGCCATCTGCTCTTCAAACCCTAAACCCCGAAAATCCGAAGCCCTGATGGGGTTGAGTGCTCTTTTGTAGAAGGAGCCTGCGCGCACCCCAACTCCGCCGTCTTTGGACAGGTCAAAGCCGAAGTCCAGCAACTGCAAGAGCGTCGGGAGGAGACCGCCGCTTGGGTTCCTCGGGGGAAGTTGGGGAAGTGAAGTTGGGTTTAGGGTTTAGGGTTTAGGGTTTAGGGTTTAGGGTTTAGGGTTTAGGGTTGAAGGTTACCCTAAACCCTAAGGAAAGGGAAGGGCGCTCCCGGATTCAGAGTCGTGCGACTCCGGGGGGGGGCACCCAAAGGGCCCCGGGGTGTGAAGCACCTTCTCTCTCCTTTCCTTTAAAGGAGCTCCTCCGGCAGCGGTGCGGCGCTCGGAGAGAAGGAAGCACACAAAGCAGTCGAGAGAGACAGGGTAGAGATTTTCTTCCTTTGTGGGTGTGTTGTTTGGGTTTGGCGTGCTCGAGGCAGGCCGCGAAGCGGAGTCAAGCCGGCGTGCCACCTAAGCCTGCCCAACTGCTTCCGACACCGGGGGCTCCGTTGCACACTTGTGGATGACCATCTTCTTGCATGACGCTGTGTTTCGGGGGCGGCAAGCGCTTAGGAGAAGTGAAGTCCGCGCGCCCGACGCCCACGAGACCACATGCATGATGTCCGCTTTGAGCTGTATGTCGTAGAATGTAAGCTGTTCCTCGGTCAGAGCTTGCCTGGCATGCTCCGAGGAAAGCCCGCAAAGGGTGAGCCTGCAAGCGAGGGCCCGACCGAGGACCCCAGAAGAACTCATCAGCGCCGGGGTATTTCAAGGGATGCCCGGGATGATGTTGAGGTAGCATGAAGCAGACATCGAAATGCCTGCTCGTTTGTCTGGCTTTGCACACATGGCATGTCTGCAGTTGCTTGGAAAGACCCCAAACTGATTTGCTTGGGATCTTGCTTCGCGCTGCGGAGGCATGCTCGGCACCAGGGTATCCCCACGTCTTACTGTCAAACGTTGTGAGCACATTTTCACCATTTCTCTTCAAGTTGAATCTCTCCTGGTGCCCCTTCTCCCCAGACACCCCTTGAAGTCGTTGGATACTCCGAGAGACAGATACAGGGGTGCCTTGTGGTCGTCGCGTTGTATGCCTATGGCTTGTTGGTCGGCAAAGCAGAATGCGACATGTTGTTGCGGGGGCCTTCATGGTGCATCGCTGTTCTGAGCGCACTGACCGTTGCTCATGGCAGCTGTTCGGGGTTGAGGGCGGCGGCACTCAAGTCAAAGGTTGATGGGGCATTCCTTCTCTTCCCACCCGTGCCGGAAATCACCAGCTTGGAGATAAATGGCGTGCAGAGGGTTGCATTGCATCTGGGTCCCACCGCAACGGGCTTCGATCCCACGTGTCGGGAGGCACTCCAGGGATACTGGGCCCTAAACCCTAAACCCTAAACCCTAAACCCTAAACCCTAAACCCTAAACCCTAAACCCTAAACCCTAAACCCTAAACCCTAAACCCTAAACCCTAAACCCTAAACCATAGCCCTAAACCCTAAATTCTAAACTCTATGCTTCTGCGGGAGTGGGCACTCCAGGGACGAGGCCAGGAGACCGGGCGGGAACTGGGGGCGTGTACGCGAGGCGAATGGTGCCTTAACATCGGGAACAGCCCCCCCAAGGGCGGGGAAAGGGCGAAGGGAAACCCCCCAAAGCCCTACATCCACCCAACAAAGGCCCAGCTCTGACTATCCCTCAAGCCCCAAGGCCGCCCCCAAACAAGCCCAACTCCTGATCTCAAGTAACCCAAACCCTAAATCCTAAACCCTAAACCCGAAACCCTAAACCCTAAACCCTAAACCCTAAACCCTAAACCCTATAGAGCCCCGGCTGTCCCCCTGAGGAGCTCCAAGCCCGACGGCGCTGGGCTTGGCAAAGCAGCGGCGTTCGACTTCACATTCGGGGTTTAGGGTTTCGGGTTTGGGGTTCAGGAAGTTTAGGGGGCTTAGGCTAAGGGGGGATAGGGGTTCAGCGGGCTTAGGGGGCTCAGGGGGTTTAGGCGGTGTGGGTGTAAAGAGTTTAGGAGGCTTAGGGGGGCTTAGGGGGCTTAGGCTCTTGTGAACAATCCGTGCAAGATACTTGAGTACCTTACAAATTTTGGGTCGTCCGCGAAATCATCAATGACTATTAATATACTGAATAAGTCCTTGTCTTTGTTCTTCTTCTGGAACTCTATTACCTTGTGTAGGGTGTCTATTATTTTCTGTAAGGCAGTTGCGTCGTCATGATTGAAATATATCTGTTCCTTTTCGGAGTCCACTTTCATTACATCCTTTATGTACTTCTTCACTGCGTTCCACGTGTCGTCCACATCCACACTAGGACTGAATATGTATATTCTTTCAAAACTATTGCGGTAAATCTTCAGTATTAAATTCTGTATTAAAACTGTTTTACCGCCTGTACTTGAAGCCACCGCCAACATTCTCGCAGGTAAAGATGGCATCATCTCATGCTTGCTATTTTTGAACGGGTACTTGGGTATATCAATTGGTTCTACTGTTGGAACATTATCGGTCATTATGAATATTAGTTAGAAAATTATACGTTAGAATATATGAATTACGTTGATTGCATTGATGTCATTGACAACCTTGAAGAAATAGAATAGATAATAATAACAACGCCTAGATATCGTAGGTGTTGCTACTCGGTGTTGGAAATATGTAAAGGGGTTGTGCAATATTTAAAATTGAAGAAAACTAATATACATTAATATATGAGCGATTCAAACAAAGAGAATAACAAAGATGGAACTGATGGCGGTGTAAGTGTAAATAAAGATGGCATTAATTGTCTATTTTGTAGATGTAAGAGAAACACATACCATAAAGAAACTAAAACAACAACTGAAAATGATAAGGTTGTTGTTAATGTTGTAGAAGACCGTTCTAGTTTTAAAATGGGTCGGGGCGTGTCGCCTGATGATGGAATATTTAAACCAAATACAGTACCACAAACTGGAGGCGTTGAACTGTGTAGTACAGGATGGAGTCAAAATCGGAAAATCACCCCAGAAGAATGCGAAGAAAGACTAGATAAAATTGAGGAAGAAGTAGAAGATGTAAAACAAGATGTTGAACAATTGAAAACAAATTTGAACATTTTGGATTAATATTTAAAAATAAAGATGTTATATAT